GTGTATATGAAAGATAAGTCCCACAAATGGGGCACCAAGCTATTTATGCTTTGCTGTGCACACTCTGCTTATTGCATTCGGTACGGAGGTAAACATGTTTTGCTGTATTAGCTGGGCCACTTATGCCGTATATTCATGTCGTGATGTACAGCTTTGAAGTCTACTGCGGTAAGAAGCAGCATAATGCTGAGAAGGCGCGGTCGACATGCAGTCAGGTCCTGCCGCTGTTGTGCGTAACATGCGAGCCGTTTTTGGTAAAACTCATTCAAACCATGGGTCAATGCGACTCGTGGTGGTTGATCGATTTTACACTTCGATCGTGTTAGCTGTGCAGCTGCTACTCATGGGTTTCTATACTATTGGCACTATCATGACTAAACGTTGGGGTTTCTACCAAGACGTAAAGACGAAGAAGAAGTCAAGGCCCAAACCCATTCCAAGAGGCACCTTGTCGTTCGCACGGTCAAAGCTTGTGAGAAAGATGACATCAATTTGCTGGTGGGACAGCAAACCTGTCCACTTTCTCTCGGTGGGAGGAAACATTGCGTTGGATCGTGTGCAACGACGCGAGAAGACTGGAGAGCAAAACTACGTGGCGTGCCCTAAGGTAATCAGGGATTATCATCGCTACATGGGCGGAGTTGATGTCCATGATCAACTCCGCCTACAACGATACTCTGTGCAGCGCTCGATCAAGTTCCGAAAATACTACAAGTCCCTGTTCTTGGGCCTTGTTGATTTAGCGATCACCAACGGCTTCATTGTGCATCGCGCTTACTGCAAGAATATGAAGATCAAGCCTCTGACACACGTGCAGTACATGTGCAAACTGCACCAGGATCTTCTTGCTCTCACAGTGGACGACATGTACGAGGAAAACACGTTTCAACCGGGTAAGTCATTGTGTTGTATCTACCGCTTTGGCTAAGCTGTACATACAGCTGAGTTAACCTGTATGCGTGGTAGGCGAAGCAGCTTCTGCTAACGAAGGCGGTGGAGTAGAGGAAGCTGATTCTACTGGTCATGTGGCTAAGCAAAGTGAAGAATGGCGAGATCACTCCGGCCAGCGAAAGCGTGTCCAGAAAAACTGCAAGGTCTGTACACTCAAAACACCAAATGGCAAGCGCGGAGCTACTTCGACATACTTCTGTGTTGGCTGCGACTTCCCCGGGTCTATATATCTTTGCGTAAAGCCGAAGTGGATCGTGAGTGACAAGATGTTGAGCTGCTGGGACGTCTGGCATAAGGAGTACAAGAACGGCAAGGCCATTCCGGAGGTCTTGAGAGGCAGGATCCGCGTACGTGCGCCAAAGACCGCAGGATCGCCCGGAAAATCGCCTGCCAAGCGCCGTCGCGTTGATTCTGAGTAGGTTTGGTGTTGGAGAGTTGAATAACACGTGGTTGGATCCAGAAGTGAGACTGTTTATGGTTTGATCAGGCAAGCACTCAAGTCTACTTGCTCACCGCGCTTTGATGACAGGAGGCAGAAACGACACATATTTGGTCCGAAGTGATTTCGTTTGGCTGGCGTACAGGACGTCATCACCAGATTGCAGGACAAGTGCATTACCTTGACTTACTTTCAGTATAGGTCAGTTAGTTGTCCTGCCTCTATTACTGTTTTCGGATTTTTAGAGATATTCTCGAGGCCAACTGACTGATCGAAGTGCAACATAGACCGTTATTCGTGCTACACACGCAAAACTCCACATCTTTGTCAAGCGCATAGCTCATGAGATGCTGTATATATACGAGCTAGAGCCACTTATGCACTGCCGTATATACAGCACTAGTGTCTACTTCCTCCGGGACGGAATAAGTGCAACATTGTACTATCCACACCTTTAAGTGCCGCAGCAGCTTACCTTCCTTTAGCGCGTCGCGAATGACCGAACGAGACACACCCACCTCTTTTGCTAAACTGTCTTGGGTCATGCGGCGTCTGAAAGGGACGTCGGCTATCTGCTCCAGCAGTGCGGAGCGGACCAAACACGGCTGATTGTGCTGTTGTCGACGCCAAAATGGTCAGATGCACGGGTCAAGCAACCCCAGTCAGGTTTCCCCCCGCACGCTGTGCATGAGGATGAAGAGGACGACATCCTGGCGTTCTCGGTTCGCTAGGTTTGGCCTCGAAGTGGCCCCAGCTGAGTCGGCTGCGTTGGTCATGCGGCTTGGAAATGGGGAGTGTCTGGTGTTAAAGATGCTGAAAATTGTGAAATGGCAAGCTGCCTGCGGTACATTTCCGTCGATAACTCTGGCGTCTGAGCATCGTTTTTCGCGCGCAAACCAGCGTTGGAAAGAGGAGATCACACCGCGACGATTCCGCCAATCAGCGCTTCCAAAGCGAGTCTGTAGGAAAAACCACGTTCTTGACTAGGAGACTGTTGCAATTATTACCAACGAGAGGAAGTATAACACTAGCGGGAGTCCAGTACCCTTCCCCTTGAGTATACAAAAATATATATGTTAATACGCTGTATATACAGCATACAATGGTGAAAATCCTCCCGGTTTCAAGGGGTTAAGCAGGGACTTCGCGCAGTGGGACGCTCGACATTTAACTCGGTTGTCAAGCTTTCCAGCTAGTGGGAATTGCGAAGGTTTTATTAATGGAAATGACGCGATGGGACTTAGAATGCGAACGGGCGATGCGGTGTTATTCGGATTCGACGAGCTTGAATAGCCAATGGGTTTTAATTATTTTTTTTTTGACTAAAAGTGTGGACAAGGCGACACTCGAAAAGCCATTCATGCGATGCTAACAATCATCGATAGCATGGACAAGATCACTTTCCAGTAGAAATCTCATCGTTGAGGCTGTCTCTGAATTCGGGCTCTAATCGCAGCTGTGCTCTCAGATCGAAGCCCAATTTGGAACGACAATTTCCCAGCGATACGATCAAAACCTATAAACTTCTTAGCCAGGGAGCTTGTGAAGAAGTTTATTTGAGTAGCAGTGAAAAGCTGGTACCACAAGTCGGGAATGGGTATTCGAGTTTAGGCTGGACACGGCTGGTAACACAATACACCTCACTTATTATCATTAAAAAGAGTTGGTCCCTGGCGGCCTTCACCAGATCGACAGGTTAGATAGTTGCTAGCCACAGATTGTATCTTTCATTGGCGTGGCGTGGGAGAACTCACCATCAGATATCTTCGTTGACTGGAATTAACGGACGGTGGAGACCGACAATTGCTGCTTGACAAGTCTCTGGCATTAAATCCGGACGGCTTTAATCGAGCCAAAGCTACTACCACACTTCACACATATCATGCACTGACTTGCTTACACACCACTAGCGCCACCCGAGATCCACCACGACCTCTATAGAGAAATTTTAAACTTAAACGAGCGAAGGAAGCCACCATTTCCGACTTTGAAGTCTCAAAAGAACATTAAATGCCACCATGGCAGCAGGAGTGGGTACGTCAGTATGGATGGCACCCGAAGTGATGCTGGACGAGCGATATGATGACAAAGCCGCTGATTTTCTTTCGGCGTGGTAATGTCGATAGTAGATGCTCATACGTCCAAAGCCAAACGAAATTGCATCAACTTTGACGGGTGTGCAATGGCAGACTTCTGAGGATCACAACGCCAGAAACTGGCGTCAAGTTCTCCGAGACGAGCCTGACTCTGAGCTTGGTGGATCTTGTGAGTCGATAGATTCGAAGCAACGACCAACTTTAGCTTAAGCGTTGTACAGACTTCACTTCTTTTTGGCCAAGATGCCAGCGCCATCATTGTGTATAGTGGATACATCTCCTGTCGTGGCCATATATTTCTCTTTCTGTAAAATATCTTTCGTGGCAGTTGCTTGCTGAAAGGTTCAACTCTGCTGCATGTCAACACAACGCATCGAGCCTATCAGTTTGTCAACGCTGACATAGAGGACATTATGACACAACACTAATCCTCACACTATTCCCATCGACATTTAGGATAAGAGGATCGAATCTTGCAATCCAGTCGATCGCCTGTCCGAAGACTTCGATGAACCCATATAAGCTTTTTAGCCGAATAGCAAAAAGTTCACTTCACAATTTGCATTGCCATCGCCGTGACGTGCGCCATGTTTCGCGAGCAACTCGCCGTCGTACTAATATTGGTGACAGCCCATTTGTTTGCAGCTGAAAGCGTATACACTGCTGAGAATTTCTACTCGGACGATGATAGCTGTAATGGCGTCCCCAACGTGATTCGAGCTACTGAGGACGTAAATTGCACCAGGGCCACGTGCTTCACCGATCCAAGTAACAACACTGTGCGCACTGAATGCCACTCGGACTACATGGAGGCCTTTAGACACAGCATCGGCGAGGATTACATCGTCCAGGTCGTCGACAAGGACAGCGATCGTGACGAATTCAGCTACGCCATCAGGTATTACGTGGGCGACTACTGTATGACTGGGTTCTTTGAGTCGGAAACACTTCGACGGTTCTTCTACTACACCACTAAACTGGAAAACGATGGCTCAGCCAAACTCGATTTTTTCTCGTCATGCCCCCCTTCTTACTACTACTTGCTTGACAGTGATACCACGGGAGACCTTGGCACCAAACGCATCGCCGCGAAGAAAGGGTGCGTGGCTGACTTCACTACTAACATCTTTCCTGGCTACCACAAATGGTACACGAGCGAGGACGAGGATGACGGTGGACTAAGTGATGGATTTTTCGCGTGCATTATCTGTGGCTGTATCCTCCTGTTCTTGGTCATCACTTTATTCGTCGTCGTCCATCAAGAGAAAAAGCGCAACGCAAAATTTGCCGACGCTCCGGTGGACGTCATCGTCACCTCGATTGATGCAACGCAAGACGGTCAATTATTCTCCATTACGAACAAGAAGACCAAGGAGCTGGGGCTGGGGCAGTCGCTGCCATCGTTCAAGATTTGTTCTAGGTAAGTTGCCATCTTGGCGTTCACATTGGGGTAAGCCCAGCCCCCAGTAAAAATGAAGTAGTTAAATGAAATTCAATTCTGCAGACTACGTAGACTACACTTCACTTGCAGTCTTCAGATCCAGGCGACAGCAGAGGTCGTGTAGAAATGAACGCGGCCACTTGTGTCCATTGCCCCGAGACGTCACAAAGTTCGCCATTGTGGCTTCTCGCTGAACTACAAGTTCGAGAAAATCACTAAATGCCAATTCCAGTGCAGCTTGTTGGCGGCTTGTGGGCATCGTCTCGCCATTGAACACGTGACATGCTGCTATCGACAGATGTGGAACATCCGCATCCAGATGACTACCCCGGGCCATTGCAACATCTCGAAACTGAGCTTGTGCTCCAATACGATCAATAGCCTCACAAACAAACGCAAAATTGACAAGACGGAAGCTGCAGTTGCAATTATTTGCCCACAGCAGCCCCAGAATGTGATCGGCCTCGCACTCGGACACCAACAGCACTTGACCATTCTCAAATATCAGCATTACATCGATCAGACGGAGGAACTCGTTCAAATGATCCATACCCTTCCGAGCTACAATCGTCGTGAAAAAATTCTCCGTTCCAAAGAGTTTAGAGCGTGTCCATGCCAGATCCGCTAAGTTCGTTGGCGTTAGCCACTGGCGGATAAAACTGTCCATACTCATTACATCCACGATGCCATAAAGATTCTCAATCGACCGAGCCCCCAGAATACTCGAGTAATTCCAGGTCTTCTCTTTCCTAGGCCGACTCACAGCCACCTCTCTTTCTTGCTCGTGCTCCTCCTCCTCTTCCACGTGCAGTTCGCGCTCACACTCGTCAGTATGCGCAGTGATACACACTTCGTCGTCCATGCCGTATACACAACCTCGTCGACAAATTTCAGCTATCAACGCGTCATCAACCCCTTCAACGCCAAAGCGCGCTTTAGCTTCGATGACTCGAGCGATCTTGTCTTCAGTGATCTTCTCTTGGTACAGAGTCTTCAGCGACCAATCTTCATTCACCAGCTCTGTCTCGTGGTTAAGCTGCGTCTTCTGAAAATGAATACCGTTGCTCGCCCACTCCAACAGCCCACGAACAGATTCCGCCTTCGTATTGTCCATGACCCAATTCAACACGTCGATCGCTGTCAAGTGCGTAATCTCTCGCTCTTTACTTGACTGAAGGAGACTCTGCGCCACCTCGTCGAAGCTCGCTATCCACAGCGTTTGGTTGCAGCCGAGCTGCCTCATGCGTCCAGCTCCCTGCATCAGTTTATCTTTTGTTAGTTTGGGTCCTAGCGTTAAAACAGCGGAAGCATTGGACGGGAGCTTCATGTCGGACCCACGCGATCGAGCCTCGTCAAAGATCACGAAGGTCTCACTCTCCAGCATCGACGCCTTTTTCAGAGGCATCACAACACGACGGCTCTTCTCCGCGATCATCCAGCAGTTGTAAGGTTTGCGACTGTCGTAGTATGTTACGCCAGCAAAGCCAAAGGTTGACTGCTGTAGAAGAAATGCAGCTGCCTCGTGGTTGGATACACCAGCAAGAAGAGCTCCAGTGTCGATCAGAGCTTGCGTCTTCTTGTCCATTGCAAAGAGCAGAGCACTCTCCCAAGGGACCGAATTGCGTCTCGGACTAGGACGAATCACCTCGTAGCCTTGAGTCACTCGCAGCATCTTGTCGATCATTTTCCCATTGGTGCCCAACAGTGAAGGCTCATGCGGCTCGCATTGCGCTACAGACAGAGGGAGAAGACGGTGGTTGTCGTTCGTTCCAGAGAATCCAATGTTGTTCGCTCCTGCTGCGAGATTCCAAGCCGTTCTTGACAAACGTTGAGGGTACTGCGTCGTATCTCTAGGAAACACGCACGTGTTGAGGTAGAAATTGATCGCATCTATGCAGAACTTGTAGGCGTTGCAGAGCGACTCAAACTGTCGAGTATCTGCAAGGCTGATGTGGCGTACATCGCCCAATGCGTTGCGGGTCTCATCGTCTAGACCCGATTTGACGCTACTAAACCATTGACTGTACTGCTGTCTCTGTTCCGAAGTGTCCAACCGCAATAACATTTGGAACGTTCTTCGAGTTTCCTCATTAGTCAGTCCTCTATGGTAATATCCCAGCAACGTGAGGACAATACAAACGTCTGGATGACAAAACTCGGATCTTTCCGAAGGAACATCCGCAGCACGAAACGGGATCGCAATTTTCTTTGACCGAGTGCCAGGATCAGGAAGCCCAAAGTCCACTCGATATCGTTTCTCCACACAGTGCTCCAACACACCAAACGCTACAAGACCCCGCAGTGCCAGCAGCTGAGAAGTGTACGCTGTGAACTTGTGCATGTGATTCCCCATAGCTTCATGTAAGCTGATAGAGCTGTCAGTAATAGCCCGGACCAGCGCGTGACCGACATTCCCAGTCCCAAGAGTGCTGAGCCACATCAGTTCGAACGGAGCATTGTCAATGAGATCCAGTACCAGTGCCTTCTTCAGATGGTCTCGTAGCTCTTCAGTGCTCTGCACGACAGTGTTCAGCCGAGTCCCATCGTAAGCCCCCAAGCGTGTTAAATAGTCTGGTGCAACACAAGAAACATGCGGTGCCTTCAGCACCTTGGCGACTCGCGATCCAATGGATCCATCCCTTATGATACTCAGTAGAGCTTCTGCAGCTTTCCACCGCTCCATGCCACTGCGAAGCGGGATCGGAGAGCCTACCGCATACACCAAATGATATTTGTGGTGGAGTAGAGCGTCACATTCGTCCAGAACATCCACGAACTGGTCATTGTCGAGGATTTCGTCCAGTGTGCTTACGAGAGAGGCATCCTTATCTAACTCAAGACGTTTTAGCTCAAGCGACATGCGGTGCGCAGGGGATACTATCTGAATGCCTCCAAACAGCTTCATTTCGTCCAGAATATCACGCATGAGCTCCAGACTCCGAGAATTCAACTCGATTTGACGGTGAAATGGCTGCTCGAAAATACCGAGATGAACGCTGGAAGCAGATAGGTAACGGTGCATGAAATGTCGCGCTTCGCTTAGTAAAGGACCCAAAAAATGAGCTCGAACCACTCGTGAACAGCGACTTTGGGTGAAGTAGAGGAACAGCATTGGCAAGATCACTCGAGTCTTGCCACGCCCCATATTGAGCTGACAGACGGTTCCTGGCTGGTTGATGAGATGTTGAGCGACGACAAACTGTTCGTGTCGGATCTGTAGTCGTCCTTCCACTTCGAACGCCAACCAATAAGGAAAGTCTACCGACTGCCATTGACGCACGTTGAATAGTTCGTCCACCAGTTGAGCGTCCGACATGTCAGCACTGCGCTTAGCTTTGCAAACAAGACGCTTTACTTTATCTTCGAGAACGCAAATCTCCAAAAATTGTAGGACCCCTTTCTTGAATTTCTCCCGTGCGTCGTCATTCATCCTTAGTGTCAATTTGTAGAGCATTTCTTTGTCATAAGAGCACCGAACGATATCACTCACCGTCATTACTAGCACTGCGTTGACGAGTGCGAGAAGCTGATCTCGCTTACCACTCGTAGAATTTGCAAACGCACCCCACAAATACGTTTCCATCTTGCTTCTGCAGGATGAAATATCGTCGAGAAACTCCATAAATGACCCAAGCAACGAACTTGGAGAAGCCTTTAGCTGCATCTGAGTTTGGGATCGGTAGTACTTCCAGCTAAGCTCCAGTTCGTCCAACATTGCTGTGCCCATGGCATCGGTAGTGGCGTTCGTTAGTGACAGCGACAGTACTTTATCTGACCCTCTTCTCGTGCATTTGACCAGTGAACTAAGCCCCGTTTCAACCATTTTCACGTAATTTTCAGCTACAGGAGGCGAACCCAACGACACTAATTCTTGACTAGCAACAGTCTTTTGAAAATGCACAACACGGCCAAATATCATTTTCTCCTCTTGGGTTCGGAATGTAGTACGAAGGGCGTTCACTGGACGTCGTCCTGCACCAATATCCGTGTACTCCGTCTGTTCGTCAACACTGTCCATCGCCATTTTACGCGACGCAGGTCGACCGTAAAGGAATCCTAACTGTTCAGCCTTCATCATCAACGTCACCGCCAAAATCTTCACTGCGGGAAGGCGAAAACTCCATTCACGAATCGTCCGTAAAGTATCTTCTTCAAATGTAGAATAAGGTCTACTCGACCGACAGGCCCGTAGATATTGGAGAGCAGCTTCGGCTCCTGTCATTTGCAGTCGCTTGCTCGGTACGTTCGTTCCTGCTCGAATACAAACCGCAGCCAGCTGCAACCTGGCACTGATTGTCTCCGTTTCGAACGTCCTTAACCGACGGTGAACGTCGTAGCACACGGTGTCCACTCGACTGTCTGGTTCGAAAGGCAAAGAGATGTCCACCATACCGTCTGAAGTCTCAACGACGGAACCAACCGGGAGCAGTATCCGAACTTCTGGTCGCGTTATATCGGCTTTGTCGCTCAGTTCTAGTACCAAATATCGGCTGAAACGCGGCAGGAAGTCGTCGAATTGCTGGCTGCTCGCTAAGAAATATCCCTTGTGCTCCACAGATGCAAACCGCATGTCGGTATCGAGAACAAATTGCAACTTGAACCGTGGCAGATCAATCTTCAGAGTGTCTTTGGGAGACTTGAGTGGATGGAGAAACCTCTCGTCTTCGAGCTTCGTTAGCACTCTTAATACCTCGCCAATCGGATCATCCTTTTGAACAAGACAGTCGTAGTCTTTAAGATGCGTCACGATGTATTCGTACGTCAACTTGGTATCACTGAAAGGTACTTGGTAACATCGCAGGGAGTTGTGTTCGTCGAAGGAAGCAACGAAGAACACCTCTCGATTCTTGGCCTCCTTTGGCCGAAAAAGAACGCAGTCTCGCTCCACCCAATACCAATGAGAGTACAAATCTCGCAGGCGTCTTGGGAAATGGTTGCAGAACGATGCAACCCAGCCGGTCGAACACAATTGAAATCTACCTGAAATGTTACGAGAGTCCACAATGAGCTCTTGGACAAAGAGCTCTTCCGATTCGTGATATCCAAACTCGTACAAGCGACCGCAATACAAACTTTCAGTCTGGAAAAGCCCATTCACTGTATTCACCTCGAAGTTGCAGCGTCCGAACAGACTCTGGAATCGTTCGTGTACGCGAATATTGGCCGGAAGTCCACCTGGTGCGTTGCCATCAGTCAATACGACACCCGTAAACAAGTTGACTGCATAGTGGCTATCGGAAGATTCAAAGCAGCATCCGAGCTGCTGGTCACCTGGTGGTACTTCTTCAACTTGCTTCCATGTCAAATTTCCAGGAGCCATCGGACTTACCAAATGTACCAAGGAGGTCAGCACTTTATCGGTGTCTCTGTTGACATAAGTTATCAGACTGTCGATCTTTCGCGACATCAGTTCATGAAGTTTACTCTCCACTTGAAGCATTTCGTTAGTGGAGGGGCAATTGATACTAGCACAGAGAAAACTGGTCCGAAATAGAACCATCAACTCGCATATTTCCTGAGCTGCTTGGTCGTCCAGAGGTCCCAATGTGTACGATAACAACGCGTAGCCGTATAGAATACACTCTTTCTGACGGAGAACGGCAACTCGATCGGGAAGGCGCTCACCTCTGTCTTCTAAGCGTAAATTTGTAGCCCAACGTCGTGCCATTCTCGCAAACAATTCCACGATAGATTTTGCATCCCGTGTAAATTGATAGAGATAGCCTGAAAGCTCACTGATTAATGGAATATTCTCGAAACATCGTGGTGTTTGCTCTAGTCTCGTCGCAGCGAGCTTTAGAACGGCACAAAATGTTTGCAGTCCGTTCTCACCTTGCAGCATATCGGTTTTCCAGAGCATTTCTGGGTCCTCCTCCGCCGTAAGTTCACCAATCTGATACAGTGTCTGTCGCACAATGATTTCCACGCACGAATGCGACCACGGTAACTTATCGTCAAGTAATACACACTGCAGCTTTCGGAACTGCTGGAACGGGTACGAGCGCATCGAGCCTAGTGCGATAAACAACGATTTCTCGAATTCTTCAGGCCTTTTGTGTAAATTTGCGTAAACCATATTTCCCCGGGTGTCATCATCACCAGGCCATGCGTTCATCCACTGGAAATCCTCAAACAATTGTGGCATTTGCTCAATGAAGCTGTCGGTGACACTTTTCGAAGTAGCGTTGAAGGGGTTTAGCGTCACTCCTGTCGGATCATTCCACGTTAAAGCCGTTCCGCGCAGCATGGGGTCTATCACGCACTCTGCTTTGAGCTGGGCAATGTTGGTCAAACCGTCAATGGTTTTGGGTCCGCGTCGGTCAGAAAGGTGAAACGAACTGGGCATTACGGCAAATTCCTTGGTAGTGGCACGCACAGCTTGACTTGGCGCATGTTGGCAGTAAAATTGCCACCAACTACAGGAACTCACACTGGGTAGTGCCCTCATTTCGGTCGTCGGGTCAAACGGGGCAATGGCTCGCTGAGCGATTAGGCACAAGCTCCCTAAAATCTCAAGATTTCGAGGCATGGTCACCATAAAAATGACTTGAATAGCGTCATCCTTTACGGGTGGCAGTGGTCTGGTTAGAGGTGAGGGAGTGACGAGCACCTTCTTCAGCACAGTCTTCACTTTATTAAGCTCCGACTTGATTTTTTTAATATCTGCTGACAATTGGTCTTGAGCACCGCTTTCCCGGTACGACCATCCAAATTCGCCAGGCGGATAAAGCTCGCTCAAACGTCTTTTCTCTTCGGCAAGTTCGTTCTGTTTTGACTCCAAGTTTTCGTCGAGACGAGATATCTGAGCCCGTAGTTCCGTGGCTCGGGTTTTCTTCTGTGCGATCTCGTTCCACTTACTCTTTACATGCGCCTCCCAGATGTTGACTTCACGGTCGTAAGTATCAACGATACTAGCGCTATTAAGGCCGAATTTGCGTGCAAAACCAAAAGTGGCGCTTTGATTCGTCAAGTCGAAGAGCGGAAGACCTTTGGTTTCCTCGTTCCAGCTTCGAATGTACTTGGCGACACGCTGAAGTGCAGAAATGGCTGCTCGATCACGAAGAACCGCCACTCTGAGGTCTTTCCAGTCTAATGCGATGTTGTACTCGGCGCACAGCGGCACTTGGCTCACACATCTTTTGTGGACAAGGCAGAACGCAATCCACATGACGAGCATTTCTCGACTGCGCTGCTCCACTTTCAGCTCGGACGTTTTCTGGGGAAGCTGTCGCCATTCATTTGCTACTTTCTGGTATGTTATAACAAGTGACTGCATCTTCTCCTCGTTGTTGTCAAAGTCTTCCTCACCAGTTAAATTGAGGGATCTCTCAAACATGAATGTCTCAAATGTTCGCAGAGCTAGAATGCACTTGTAGGATTTTGGAGCCGCGTTCACTTCTCCCCATTGAAGCAACGCGTCCAGACTGCATGTAGCCCCATCGAGAAACCAGCATCTTTCCAGATTAGCCAGCACACGAGTGTGCCTCGTTTCGCTACTTTCTTCACAATTTAAGTCCCATTCTCGCTGAGGGGAGTCGATCTTCACACCACATTCCAATGAAGAGAGCTGCTGCAATATCGTGGAATCCGGTAGATGGTATGGCGTCGCAGCTTGTAGGTTTAGCGTATCAACAAATTCCCCGATACTAACTCGCACACGAGAGCACTCGTCCCTCAATGACGACACATCATATCCACAATCAAGAAGCTCAACTGCACTCTGAACAACGTCTTGTAGCATGAAAAACGAATCGTCCACAGCGTCGCATCCTTCTTTTACGTTAGTACCACCACGACCGAATGTTTCTTGCATCTCAGTCACGAACGATTCAAGTAAACTCATCTTGAACATCACCATCGTTTTTCGAAGAAGGCCCCGACCACAGCAGATATTTTGTTCGATTACTGCCTGCACAAGTGGCCAGCACGTACCACGAGGGCTGCCCCCGGTATGCTGCCCTACGTCGGTTGTACCTCCGTGGGGAGATAATCTGCTATCATTACCGACGTCTTCTACGATTGAAGTGACTTTAGCAACCGCACGACGTACAACTGCTGCGATGAATTGCGGTGTCTTTTGATGTCCAAGATCATTACAGGATGCACTCCGCTTTGAACCTTTCTCCTGTTGAGCTTTTCGCAATTTTGTATCAAACACCTTTCCGAACTCCTCCTCCAACGCCGAATCCAAATCGGCACAATGTAACGTTTTATAGGTCTTAGGAACGGCACTATGTACGCATTTCCCCGTCGGCACAAAATGTAGGATTCGTTCCCATCCGTCCACAAAGATAACTTCCAGCTTGACCACCGCAGCACTGACCTTGGTTCGCTGTAGAGCGCAGCCGTACATCGGTAACCACGGATAATACCAAACATCTCCTCTTTTGTGGATGTCATCAACTGAAGAGTCCAGACGTCGGCCAACCTCCCGCAGCACATCAACTTCGTGATCAGCGAATTCGGACGCTAGAACTACGCGATCGTCAATTAAAGGATTCGCTTGAGCACAACAGTGACCAGGCACCGTCACAGGCCTCACCGTTGCTACAAAATCTGCAAACTGTTTAATTAAAACGTGGCAAAGAGCTTCATCCTGAATGTCACTGGGAGCGCGGTGCTTGAAGCGGAATATCGCATTAAGCTGCTCACCGCTTTGTGTCTTAGGCCGTTTAGGCTCCGGAAACCAGCTCGAATCGTTTAAATCTTGCATTCGCTTCATTTCGTAGCAAAGCGGAGAATGCGCTCCAATAGTTTTCGATTTGGTCACAAATTGTCAAGAAAGACGGATTGACCACGATCGCACCGTTGCTGGTAGTTTTCTCAAAAGGAATCCGCTTTGATGGACCGACAATGACGCGAGGCAAATTCGGGTTGAGTTCTCAAAACGAAGTCGACATATTTATTCTGGTAGTGATACGAGTAGTAGTACGTGCAGACGACTGGTAGTGCTGTTGAATTTTACCAGAATAGCTACTGTACCACACTAAACTTTAGCACATCTAGAATTGTTATATCTGTTATTAGATAATACGATTTGAGCGAGGTTATATATCACCGGATATTTTCAATTTCTCAGCGAGGTCACTAGCTACGGCGACCACCGCCCGAGGGCACTATACTTCGTCGCCGCGGCGGTAAGTGAGGTGCTGCGGTTATCTCCGCTCTATCTACACTCTTCTGCACGTCTACTTATCGTCCACTTGTTTTCTTATCTCCCCTCTGCTCAGTAGTTATACCATCATTTAAATACTCATTCTAACACCCCCACTAAGTGTTCAGAAGGCCTTTTACTCCAATTTTGTCTCTTAGTATTGTCGACTGCATTGTAGGAAGAGCCTTCGTAAGGATGTCTGCTGCCATACTTGTAGCTGGGCAATATTCAACAACCAAACGTCCTTCTTCTACTAAATCCCTTGTAAATAGGAGCTTAATTTGAATGTGCTTGCTAGCTTTTTGGTTTCCGAATTCTTATAGCTGACCAGCTATCACACCATACTTCTACAAGTTTTGTTTGATGAAAACCCATTTCCAAAAGCAAGTACCAAAACCACTCACTTTCTTTTGCACCTTCACTCAGCGCGATAAGTTCTGCTTCAGCAGTGAAAAGGGAAACGCATCCTTGTTTGCTACTGCACCAAGAAATACTGCAGCCAGCCATTTTAATCACAAACCCTGTGATTAACCCTTTCGTTAACGCCATACACTTCTATTTGAAGGGACACCAAACAATTTTTAAGTATAAAGCCCTTAAAGGATACTTTAAGCAGCTTTCTACGGCACAAAATGCCAGAGGTTTATGTCCAAATTCTATGTAATTGTAGAGGTTATATACAAAAACGGGACAGAAGAGTACCTCAGGTATTCTTTTGCAACACCATTTTTTCTAGTCAGCAATTGGCTGGTAGCTCACTCAACTGCAATTTTCCGGTTTGTCACTTGCGGATTAATGTCAGTACGTGAAGTACCGTGGGCCTCGGACAATACAATACGAAATTGTACTGCAAGACATCGAGTCCCATAATAATACGGGAATATGATGAAGTACAATAATAATAACGGGGCCAATATAAGTATATTGTGGCCTCCAACTACCAAGTCTTCCTACTCATTGGCGACGAGCGAAGTCGCGTTCCACATGTCGCGGTTCACGCGAAGAAATGCTAACATCTCAAAGCTTGCAGAAAGCATGCATGACCGCTGAGGCGTCAGAATGAGCTTGCACTGCGAAAACAGTATTTCAACTGTGTTTGAGGTGGGCGGCACAACCTTTGCCAGCTCATGAAAGCTCACACCCGCAGCACCAGCCGCTCGCATCTGCTTCCCCCCTCGTAGAATTGCGCTGGCGTAATCGCTCGTCGAGCGCTCCTTCCTCTTACCAGTTGCAGCATCTGGCTCCACCACCAATCGCTGGACTGCGCGCGACTCAGACGCAGTGAGCTTCGCATTGTTGCAAATCTTGACCAAAGCTGCCTCAAAGGCCGGCGCATGGACGATCTTCGCCGCCGGACGCAGATGGCTCGCCATAACTGGTTAGTCGTCAACAACCTGGTCAAACAAAACACGCACGTCCGCCATGCTGGTGTCCTCGCGCTGGAGTGTCTTGCAGACACTATCGAGTTTCTTGAGGTGCTCTAGCAGGCCGAGAAGCTTCTTGTGGGCCGCACCTTTTGGGATGAACTCGTCAACAGCATCAACCTGCCGAATAGAATCTCGAATTTTCTTATAGCGGTCCACCATTGCGAATGTCGAAGACCAACGGGTAACATTCCGTTTGACAGGTTTCAGGTCCGTGAATTTTGATAGTTCCGCAGCATTGTTCACGTGTCGTAGCTGCACCATCAGACTGTTAACTGCAGCGAGCTCCGGCTCATAAGCAGCTAAGTAGCGATTCACCGCAAGGTTGTACCGGTGACTTGCACAGCCAACCAGTGGCAACTCCAACAACGTAGCGATCCGCTGATTGGTCGCGCAATTGTCGGCTACCAGAAAAGCCACCATAGAGATGTCCTTGTTATACAGCGCCAGCACGCGCTTGAACATCTCGATGTGCACTTCAGCATCTTGGCTGCTGTCCTCCAGCGGTGACAGCGACAGCAGTCGCTCACGGCGCTTGCCGTCTGCGTAGCAAACACCGTACATACCGACGTAGTGCGTGGTACCGTGCGTCCATCTATCCCACATGACACCAAACAGCTTGCCCAACTCGCTTTCGATCAGCACACCAACGCTCTCGGAGCACTTCTTCATGTCTTCCTTCAACCTCTTGGACGAAACGGGCTTCCAGGACGACATGGACCTTGTGAGGTGGTTGTCGACCTCGGAGACGGGCATGTGCCTCTCTACGACCCACTGAAGCCACTGATAGCGATGCTGAGTCGCCTCGGACACGAACTCAAAGTTGGACAGAGGGGCGTCCGTAGCCGCAGATGCGCTGTAGGTCTCGTTGAAGTCGGGGTGCGTCAGGTTGAGGTGGGACATCAGGTTCGAGTACCCGGTACCGGTTTGCTGCTTGCGGTAAGAACCGCAAAGCTGACAGCGGAAGTCGCCTTGGCCCTTGTCTTCGTAGAAGAATGCGCAGATATCACGGTTCGGAGCCATCGTGGTCAAATGAAAAGTGAGGAAGTGCTGTGAGGCTTCGGCTCGTGCTCGTGTCTGTGCCTGCCAGCCAACCACTTGAACGATTGGCGCGAAGAGCTAGTTGCCTCTAACATATTGGTATAAACCGGTATTGTACTGATATTATTGGATCAATATCATATTATATTGACTTTGGACAGATCCAATAATAATAATTGTAGCCGGATAATACAGTAATTACGGGATTGATATTATTTTTTCTCACCCCTGGGCTACACGGCCTCTAGAATTATGTGGCCCCCACACACTTCTCTCGCGCTACATCTACTACCCAGCAAAGCAAACACAGCATCTTCCGCCTACACGGCCTCTAGGGTATGCGGCCCCCATACACTTCTCGCGCGCTACATCTACTACCCAGCAAAGCAAACACAGGATCATCCGTGGCCTACACGGCCTCTAGGATTATGCGGCCCCCACACACTTCTCGTGCGCTACATCTACTACCCAGCAAAGCAGACACAGGATCTAAACAATCTGAGCAGGGTACACTCGCAGATGTCAACAGATGCAAACTTGCACAGTGTGACATCACGTACAAACCCACGGGGAAGATCGACGGTACGCAGGTCATGTTCATAAGTGTTATCTAACCTATATGCTCTGTCAGCTAACGATTATGATGCAGCTTTTACGAAAATGTTTATGTGGCTTCGTTGCGCCCGGGTCTCAAGCTGAGAAGACCACAACTCCAGATTTTGCGAAAGCACAACGTGGTCTTAAGCGACAAAGGCTGTCGTATACCGCCAGGGAGTCACAGAGGAGGCGACCTACCGACCTGAAGGTATTTAAGGCTGCGCATTTTGCTCAGTGCTAGGCTCGCGTCGAACGGACATTTTGCAAGGTCACCGACATCTGTGTCGCGCACTCGACACTTGTGTCAAGAACAGACTGCCCTGAAGTCTACGTACTTCACGTTGATCCTTTTACACAAGTCACGGACGCTCGAAAAGCTTTTATTCTAACGAAGATAGCCAGATTTGTGGGCAGTGCCTGGCTACTATGCACGATAGTGAACAAAAGCTACGGACTCCGCTGCGTAGCCATATCTAGAGCCTCAGCAGCTCTACAATCTCTTTCTCGCCGAAATGCTTGACGTGAAGAAGACTCTTACCTTTTAGTGCCCCAGCTTAATTTTATCCACTCAAATCACGTGTTCGATAAACTCAGCTGCATAGACCAGTGATCTCCCACGAACCGCACCTGGATTGTAAAGAGATGTTCTTTTCAGTCTAGATTTTGCCGTCTCCTGTAGATATGGCTGATTGTCCAGTATGTTGCTCGAATTTGTTTTTTTTAAATGCTCTTGCAACTGACTGTGTATGATGTACTCAAATAGCTACCAACCCCAGAGGAGACGCTGGGCTGGAATGGAGGTTGTGGCGTGGATATCAACATGGTGCGTGAGCTGTAAGCTCGTTATGTGAAGCTCTTAAGTAATTGATGTATGTTCAACCCAGGCTCTGGAGTACTTCGCTGCCGGCACCCATCAGCCTATCGAATTCGACAACCTATACCCTGTCTCCTATTCGCTTGACCCCCAAGTACGCTATGTGACTTTGTTATCCAATGATAAAATCTCCGCTGACGAAAGCGGTTTTTGCTCTTAGAAACGCGAGCGCAGTTTTGGCTCATACGCCGGAATCGATGATTTCATTGGGGCCCTCCCTGTGAAACAGATGTACAAAGTTTATGCAGAGCTTTATGCAGGCAAGCAAGATCACCTTCACGAGTACATTATGATGCTGCGATGGCTGAGATCCTCCATGGAAATTTCGGAGGTATGACTCTGCTTATGCGTGTTTTTGTTAGCTGCTATCAGCGCCTTACTTGTTATCTACACTAGATCACAGTCAAACACCTTCATGATCGTCTAAGTTTCTTGAAGGTCTACCTTGAGTATACCCGGACGAAGCTCGAAGAACACTACAAGTGCTACAAGAAAATGAAAGCGGACGAAGCTGTTGATGACGAGGTAATTTATCTCCACAAGAAGGACGGGTTCCACAAGAAACGTGGCTACAGTATTTTTGTATATCTAAGTATGGTCATGACCGTCGTCAACGTATTGGCGAAGCAAATTGACAAGTATGAATGGCAGCAGTGCCAATGCACTAAGTGCGCGTACTATCGGTCGCCCGAGTGGCGCCAAACGAGACCTGATGACATTACGCCTGCCATGCTACCTCCAATGAGATTTTATCGCCGCGGAAGCAAAGGAGTGAGCCCCTCTGAAGCGATTTACCGCAAACAGCGTGGACAGAAGTTATAAGAATACTTCCGTTTCCAAACGAAAACGAAGCTCTCAAGTTTCAAGTGAAAACATTTTGTTGTGTGAGGATGCTATCAGTTATGTCATTGTAGCACCATGCGTATCCGCAGGACTGTTAACGGAATGGACTTGTACAAAAAGCAAGGGGCTATCTTCGAGTGACTCCGGTGTAACAAACTCGCGACAAGCCTTTTGTAGGTACGAGGGTAGTCGAGGGGGGGGGTGATTCAATAGCTCATCAGCTGTATCCGAATACGAAATTGACGCACTTCAGAGCCTTCAACCGTGGTTTTGGAGACAGCGGTGGCAGCACGTGCTCAGAACCTTCAAGACTTCTTACGAGTTGCGGATGTGATAAAGGCGTTCGAGCTCATTGTGTAGCTAAGCTTTAAACATCCTTTCGGTGGAATTGGGTATTCAATGATCTGCTCTTTTGCGTCGATAACGGTGTACGTGCGTCCATTAGCAACTGTCTAGTCGTGTGTGTGCGTGTGAATGCGAATTCTGACGGTCTTTTATCGCTCGAAAGTGGACACATTTACGTGTACTAAGCGTCTAGCCCATAAGTAGCTTCTCAGTGGCTTACCCTTGCGGGCGTACCACAGTCCCCTCGTTCAGCAGCTCCGCGATGGCCAGATAACGTACGACGTACGTTTGGGCTTTCTAAGGATCGGTATTGAGCGAGCGTATTAATAGTATGGACCTTCTTCCACAGCCAGAATGGCAGATTTAATGAGGAGAGCACCACCTCAGCGTGCGACAGAAACCCAGTATCTTGGTTTTGTACGCGATAGACGTGTAGAAGATCTCCGCTTGCTTGGATCACGAACGACGCGGGATAGTGTACACGTTCAGCAGGATCTTCAATAGCTCGATCCGGTCAAGCCTACTGTCCGTCAATGCCATCTGGATCTTCTTCATGGTAGCGCCAGACGAAAATACTCTCGAACGATTTCTTCAGTGCGTCCCAGTGGTGCAGATGTGTTCGATGTAGCTGCGCCTTCATTGATGGTGAATACTACACCACACGATCCCCGTTTATCTGTGACTAGGCGAGAATTGGGTCGAGTTGGGCTGTGTCGATAACGGGGGGGGGGGTGCAGGTTTGCTTACGGGCAGAGTCGATGGATAGAAGCGCCGGTCGGCAAATTTTAAAATGACCGCTTGATAACCACGCTGGCCGGAAAATTGCCGCCACACGCCAGCAAACACTTCACATGTTGAAGCAACAGCTCAACCAATCATAGCTCGTTTGAACACGGCTCCACCAATCGCAAAACAACCTTTTAGATACCAATATCTTATTGGTGGAATGGTTACCCCGAGGGAAAACGCAGCCCCAAACCCTGAACGATTTGGCAACTTCAACGTCGCGCCAAATTTGAATTCATCCTGGTAATTTCTACGTTATTTTTTTAATTTTTACTGATATATTGTTCTCTCGTATATATTATAATTCCTTTCCTTAAAAAGTGCATATTTCAATTCACGTAGACCTTCGCCGACAGCAAGCAGCAGCTCTTAAAAGTTGAGTTGAATATGTAGGACTCTCCTGAAATGGATTTCACTCGAAGACTCTCTGCATGCAAGTACGTGAAAATTTCAATGCTTCAATATACTCTACCACTGAGTATGAATCCAGTCGTCCAAATCGCTTAAGTACGTATAGATTGATAGACAAGTGATCTCCACAATTCCACAACCATCGAATCCTGTCAATGAGAACGTGCAACTGGAAGTACTAAAACCTGAAATATAGCCTTTTATAAAGTTATGACCTACATTTAATCTTATACTGTAATGTTATTATAGTTTCACTGATACTGAGAATATTTACTACTATTATTACTCATAGTATTCAGTGTTTCTTTAGTTTCACTTGATACTCAGAGTATCAAGTGAAACTATAATAACAGTTTAAAAGTATACATATAGATAGACCTGGAGATCAAGTTGAGCTCCGGCTGGGTGGGGTGCGCCGGCCACGCCGACCGCTCGTGCTACGACTTTCGGTTAACGCCAAGAAGAGTAAGGTCAAGATGGTGGGCACGCACAAGTTCGACAATCCCGAGAAGCGCCTGATCGTGGAGATCAAGCCGAACAAGGGCAAGATTGGCCGAACGTTCAAGGCCGATGTGGCCGCGATCCTCGAGGCGCTAGAGGCTTTGAAGGATGATGTGCCACGCGCCCAGGCTTTCGAGGACGAGCTGACCTCCAAGAGCGAGGCCACGCTGGGCCCGCTGTGCGACGGCAAGCAGTTCACGCTGCAGCGCGACATGGTGGCGACTAAGTTGGTGGAGAAGATGGTGAGCGAAGAAAAGTTCGTTCCCTCGGTGATCGAGCCCTCGTTCGGCATTTCCCTTGCCGCTTTTGAACAAAATTTCGATTCTCGCGAGGGTGACGAGAAGCGCGGCGTCATGTCGTCACCCTTGATCGCCCCCGTCAAGGTGTCGGTGCTGCGTCTGAGCAACATCCCGGACTTTGAGCCATTCGCGACGGACCTGGAGAGCGTCTTCGTGGAGGAACGCCTGGAGTGCAAGGTGGGCACGTCAAGTGTCGCCATTGGCCGCAAGTAGCAATATTTCATCGCAGGCTGACATTTGGGGACATTTGTCAGATGCAACGAGGCAATTATCATCAAGTCAGCGAACGAAGGCTGGTACTACGTGGACACTAACGTCAAAAAATGTAGTAGCGATTCAACCTCAAACAGACGGAAGTCAACAGCAAATTATTTGTCTGCAGTGAAAAACTTGTCACTCATCTGGTGATTTCACTAACTTAGTGTTTGTTGACATGCATGTTAGACATGAAAAGGTCTGATCCCTTTCTAGAAATAAAACGTCTTACGAACGTTGGTTGGTTCGACGAGCTGCTCGTTCATTGCGACGCCTGTCGTTGCTTGTTCGACGATAATCCTGGCGAACCCATGTGTATGGAATTGTTGTCGGATTCCAAGCGACATCCACAACCTGCGTATCATACTCTTCGTAGTAGGGCTCCCCTACTTGACCTTCGTATTCACCCTCTGAAAGCTCAATAGCAGCGTTGTCATCACTCTCAGCGCTCTAGTCATCGTTATCACTCGTCGCCATATCCTCGTCGGTCTGATCCGACGAGGGGCTTCGTACATCGAGATCCACAGCGCGTGAAACTGCGGCGTTAGACGCGTGAGTAGCATCAGTAGCAATAGAAGAAGGACCAGTCGAAGCTCGGGCACTAGCGCCACCAAGAAAACTAGCGCCATGGCCATCACTATGGCTACGAGGAGCGGCGCCATCACTACCTCTGTCACGACCTGCAGCATCACCACCATTACCCGTGACCGCTTGATCGTGAGGAGCAATAGCGTTTCGGCGATGCGCTGCAGCAGTAGTAGCTTGGTCATCTCGTACATAAAGAGCAGCAGACATGCAACCATGGCCAACAGGAGATCATCTGTGAGCAGTACCACCACCAGCAATTCGATCGTGGATAGTAGACGCAGTAGCGATTCGATCGCGACCTGCATGGGGTTGGTCAAGGGTAGCTGCTGTAGATGCGACTTGGTTGCGGTGAGAAACATCTCGGATGTACGTAGCATTAGGAATGCGACCTTGGCCTGTAGAAATAGTAGCACTTTGGCCGCGGGTAGTAGAAACAGCAGCAGCCCAGTAGGACACAGTATTGACTGAAACGTGCGGTGCGGCGCCTGCAATTTGGTCGCTATGACCAGCGTCTCGACGGCTAAAAGCAGCAATTCGGCCGTTACCGGTGATCTCTCGGCGTTGATCTGTGGTACGCGCCATTTGGCCATGGTCGGTGGCATCTTGGTTGTTAACTGTCGTAGCAACTTTCCGGTCGCTATCAGCGGTATGTCGACCGTGAGCAGCAACAACCCGGCCAACATTAGCGTCGTCTTGGCGGTGGTCTGCATCATTAGCGATTCGGTCACGGTCACCAGCTTCTCGGCGCTGATCTTCGGCAGCGGTATTATGGTCCAAGTTCGCGACACATCGACCGTTCGTCGTAGCAGCTTGGTAAGCACCAGCAGAAAACTGGTAGTCTGGATGGTCATGCCAGTAGTCAGGGAGCACTAACTGAGCTGCACATACCTCACGTTTATCGATATAGCCTTCGTGGGACGCGAAAAATGCACGAAGACTTTGTTGTACATCGCATTCGGGTACGTTTCGCTCCAGCAGACGTTTACGGAGCAGCTTTCTTCCAGAACCGGTGATTCGCGTGGTGGGTCTTTTAGCACGCTCGCATAGGGCCACGAAATCTTTAAAATTATACACCCCACGACTCGGCTTTTGAGGATTCATCAGACAAAGACGAAATCGAATATACTTTAACTCTCACACTTACCACCTTCCCATGTTCTTTCTCACATCTCAATCTTACGTTTCCCATATTTTTTTCTTTTTGGTAGGCATGGGACAACTGCAATTTTGATAGGCATTCTCTCCCCCGACACGAGCCCATCCGGTGGTGGCGACACAAGCCTATCCGGTGGTGGCGACACAAGCCTATCCGGTGGTGGCGACACAAGCCTATCCGGTGGTGGCGACACAAGCCCATCCGGTGGTAGTGACACGGTGGTGGCGATACGAGCCCATCCGGTGGTCACGACACAGAAAACAACTCCTGAGACTTACCCAAATCGGGGAAGCGAAGAAAATAATGCGCATTTTAGTGTGCTGGGCAATGCTGAGGGCATCCGATCCTGCGATATGAAGTTGTTCATGGTTGACGGGTGTACGGACATTGAATGGTTGATGGCGGGGCACTTACTATGCTGTATTTACGAATTTTTCGTTTTGCTACGCTTTTGTGAATGTGTGCGGAGGAACGAGTAAGGCTTACCGGCATTCGGGAAGTACGTCCTGAAAAACATTTAACGATATGCACCTACATATATTTCATTTTCGTGGTGTATACGGGCCATTATGGATCTCCTGATGCTGAGCATTGAAGATTTCCAGCTCAGTTGAGCCGCTGTGTGTGAGAGTGTGCCGTCATAAGTGTGAAGGCATGCCATCTGAGTTTGAGCTACCAGATTTTCCCAACGGTAAAGTTGGCATTAGCCTACGCTGAGCAACTACATGTATAACTGAATCACATTTCAATAGATACGGACTTGGGTAGAAACGATTGCTACTAAACGTGCAGTGACGATAACCAAATCTTGTGGTAACTTCAGTACATTCGTGCACTGCTTACTCGCCTCTTTTGACGAAAATATAAATCGGCACCTCACACTCACATTCACGTGTACACAAGTGCGTAGTTTCCAACGACGGCAGAAGTGTTTCGTGCAGATAGAATTGTGTCTTGGACAAACCGCACTGGTGAGCGCAGCAACTCTGGCATCAGGCATACATGCGAGCTAATCGGCGATGTGATTTGTGGCTGAAGGATCAAAGCGCAAGTTGTTTGCGAACACGATTGTGGCGCTTGTGAACGGAGACTTAGTTGACAGATCGATCTTTTTCACATCTTGAGCGTAAATATCGGCATTTTGCAGTCTTGGCCAGCTCACTACGTGTTCACTCAATATCCCATTGCAACGACCTACTAGAACACGACGTATTTCAATCCCAATGCTCGATCGAACAGCAGTTGAAAGCACAAATTGAACTACGATATTCCCGACGCCAGAGCCTATATCCAGAAATACATCCCAAGCCCCAATCGCACCAATCTGGTGTATTGAGGCAATCATCGACGACACCCCACTCGGTAGTATCTCCCCAGCATTTAGATGAGCTGCACCGGGTGGGTACACGACCTCGCTCCGAGATATATTCTTGAACATCGTAATTACAACTTGATGCACATCACGTGGTACATTGTTGTCATGGAGTAATGAGCGAGTGTCATATTGCTTCGCTGAAACAAAAAGGTTGGCTACCACTGCAGCGAAAGGCTCTGGAGCTTCCAACATAGTTCCATCCATTGGCAACGGAGTGTTTTCTGCTAACGTCTGGCCAAAATTGGTCGTCGCTGGACCAGAATCCTCTACAGTTGACGTCCGCGTGGCTTCCGATAACGAAGACACAAATTCCATGTCGATTGGGTGAGATGATACTCTGCCTCGCTGTTTTTTGAAAGACTTTCCATGCCCTTGCTGGCTAGGTCCCTGCGCTGTCGATTTGGCTGATCCGGCGCTACCATGGGGCTGACGGATGCGCAGTATTTGAACACTTCTGCGACCTCGGGAGGCGCGGACAGGAGTGTAAAAACAGCGTGGAAATTTTGACAACTCCGATCCGAAGGTGCGTTTAAGCGAGCTCAATCTCTGGGCGAGTTCCTTGGGTGAACGCCTCCAACGTTTCATCTTCGCAGCGACATCCTTCCACGCAATACGCACTACTCCCTGGTCAACATATTGGCGAACAATTTGCACCAGCTCCTTGTCTTCCTCCTCGAGAAAGGTAGTGCTCGGTATTATTCAGGGTCCGTGGGTCAGGGAAGATCCAACCACAGCACAACTATGACATTCAGTATGGAATTTGGGGGGGGGCTGCACACATGTTGATTTGGGCATGCAAATTCATGGAGACTAATCATGGCTGAATTGAACTTGTGATTTTTACAGATGTATCTTCTCAACTTTGAAAAACAAAAGTTTTGTAGTTTATTCTATATAGGTGTAAATAAAGTTATGACTGACTTAATGCAGGAATTGTAGTTCTCGGGTTGGATGGCTTGGTGTCTACTTGTTATTATCTAAGAGAAATGGGTGGTGTAAGTTTAGATAGCGTGGCCGGCATTACAGTTGTAAAATTGCTTCTAGAGTTCATTCGCGCTGCACTGAAAGCCTATTTGCTCGCTAAATTATGTCAGGATTTACGATTTAAGAGTTATTATAATTCTTGGGTTCCGAATCAAGTATTTGTACCACCCAACATTAAAGTTGGCGCGAAGTTGAAGTGAGTAGATTAAGGTTTTTTTACTTTCTGTCCGCATCGCCAATTCCACGAATTAGATACCTTCACTTTACGTGGGATGTGCTGTGATTGGTGGAGCTGTGGATACAAGGGATGTGATTGGCGGAACCACGGTCAAAAGAGATGTGATTGGCGGAGCCGTTGTTCAATACAAGAGCGATCTCACTGGCGACTGCAAAAGTTCCCGCCCCAGCGAGTAGCAAGCAATGACCCATTTCCAAATTATCCGAGAGCCACACAAGTATCTCCAGAGCCCTAGCCGACTTGGGCAACTCGCTCGCCACGCCTGCTATCGCTGCTTCATTTTGCCTGTGCCATTCCCATGCAACACACCGAGGCAGTATCGACAAGATGCTGATCAACTTTGCCGACCAGTGTGCTACTCGTCGCCAATAAAGAGCTGCTGAAACACGTATTCCCGATTGGATCTATGATGCTTGGGTGGCGTTGTGCTCGTCCAAGGTCGGGTTGCGAAATACCAGTACGATGTTGGTTCACAACGTTCGTTGTGGCGTTGCTAAATCGTCCGGACAACGCTCACTATTAAGAAGGTCCGTCACGACCTAAACTGCATCATCTCCTTGTGAACACTACCGAGGAGCATTCGGCAGTGTATTTGTTCGAGAAC